ACATCACCAGCCCCAGTCCGACGCACCGGAGCTTCATCTCACCTTCTCCAGACGGCTCTCCAGCTCCGCCACCTCGTCCTCGCACTGGTCCAGCGTCCTCCTGCACACGAGAGCAGAGCAGTCAAGGGCGACACTCACATCGGCACCTTGACAGCAAGCGCGCTGCTGACGGCATTCGTCTTCACCGTGACCTCAGTTTAGATTTAATGCAGAAGCGTGTAGAGATAAATTCAAAATACAAAATATCACATCATCGATATATCTCCATCCTGGCGTCGTAGCGCAAAAAGTCATTCTATGATCGCATGTTCTTTCACTGACCTGAACGTCGGCGAATCTTTGATGCACTCTTCGAAATCCAGAAACGTATCCATTTTGTAAACTTCACGACTCAAGAACTAATGTTTGGGTAATACCGTTCTTAATACAAATACCGGACGTTACTTGTCCGATATAACTACTGCAACTGAAGCGAGCACTTCCCTGAGACTCATATCACGATCATGTTAAATTATGCATTCACATAATATTAATCATTACAATAATACTGTACGTACGTTACGCCAAGCCCATAACATGAGAATAGTGGTAAATGTACGACACTGGAAACCAGTACATTCATCTTTTAAACATAACGCAAATTACACAACACGTCATTAACCAAAATATTATTTTAAAACCGCACTAAACTCGGTAATTACCTGTAATTTAAAAATATTTATCAATCCTGATTAAATTATCCCTTAGTCTGCCAGAACATTTTTTTTAAATCCTTCGTTTTCACATAACAATTTCAAGAGTCCGTATACAGCACGTAAGTCGATCTTATATCATTTAGCAAATTCTAGGAACACGTATAACACGGTGAAACCCTGTAACACGACAGCGACATCTGCCAGGTTCCCAACTGAGCCGCTTCATTTAAATTTTCTGCGTCCCCCGACGAGCAGCAAATCCATTTTTTAAAGACGAGCAAGTAAAGCCACCTGCTACACACAAAGCTGAAATGTAACCGATTAAAAACCTCTGATCTCTCCGCTGCGACTTCTATAGATTCAAAGTATCTCTATCTCCTGCCGAAAGCCCAACTAGTACAACAACACAACCTACTGCTAACAACTTTACTCTGGGAATGGGAGTTGTTTCCTGTTATTCATGCCACTGCTTCAAAGAACATCCGGGGGTAACGGCGTGTAACAGTCTTGGTTTGCGTGACACGTTCACATTACGGCTTGAAGGCTGCGTTTTGGCGTGGAAGATCAAATTAACTTTGTTCTTCAGACTGCGGCGTCTCGGACAGCAGCTCCGCATAGCGATGACACGAACGCGAGGGTACACAGGTGTATGAACCCCGACAAAAGACACATTTGGATTTTGCATGATATACCTTTAATGAAAATACTGTTTTCGTAACACACAAAGCAGAAGTCACAACTGTAAACTAGTACATCTTCCACACTCAGGCGTATGTATAGACTTGGAAAACGACATACTTTTTTATATAAAATGAAGTAATTATAAACATTTATTCCACAGTCATCAAATGCGTTAAACTGCGCGCAAGCGAATTTACGCTCGATTACAAATACTGTACTGTAGGTTTCTGATGTTTTCTTAGTTTGAAAGAAAATGTTTTTTTTCTGTAACTGTTAGAATGTGTTATTGACAAAATGTATTTTTCAGGGATTCCTACAGATTACTGCATTGATTAGTTTCGATTCTTGTCTGCTTGGTGGCGCTATAGCCAAGCGAGTAACTTCATGGTCTGCTCTTTTACTGTATAAAAATCTACAATAACAGCTCGGATATGATAAATTATTCAGGCAAAAAAAATGTACTTTCCTTAGCTCTGTAACTTTCGGGTGTGTGAGGGTTGTAATTAAAAACGCTAGCTGTTTATAACATCAACAAAGCAAATTACACTCATGATCAGAATTTTCAAAGACAGACCTCAGACGATGCATTCGGAACGTATTGCTCACTTTAAATTTAAATTGATCTTTCGATACAAGTCCAGACTGTTCTGTTTCTCTTTTAAAGATCTGTTTTGTTACCTGAAATATTGTATATCATATCAATACTTTGTTTTATTGTCATATTGAGAACTGTCCGCAATGCTTTACTGTTTAGACATATAAGGTAGCTGTAAGTTATTTATGCATGACTTAACGAATACTTAAACTTGAATACTTAACGGATAATGAGTAGCAGTACAACGATAAGTACTTTTGCCTGAAGTTAGACAATATTTACAAAATAACAGCACACATTTCTCTTATAAGGTTGATCTTAGACCTTTGTAATTTCGCTATTAGCGCTTTTTCCAATTAATGTCTGGCTGCAAGTGGTGCTTGTATTGCAAAAGTACCGAACATGAAATTGCTGAGTTCAGCGGAGGCGCAATTGACCGCACGGTTTGCCTCAGTACACTGCTAAACACGTGGATGGTTGAACCGGAGTGCGGATGCCTGCTGATAACGTGAAGGGTGGATATGGTTATATATTTTTTTGCTATTTCATCTATGTTCACTTGCCAAATTTCATCAGCCGATGTTTTTTTTTACTGGAGTATCCCAAAAGTTGCATCACGTTACATGCATGTTATCATCATAATGCTACACGGTTACTTAAGGACGTTTTAAAATGTCTGTCCGTACTGCAAAAGATCGAACGTACTGTACATCATACAAACTGTTATACAATTGTAACATATGAAATGGTAAATAGGAAAATAAAGGACTGCAAGACATGCATTCTGAAACTCATAAATCTCCCTATACAGCTTTTTCCTTGCTATTATTCGCAAATAACCACGATCCCTGATGTGTAAAGCAATTAACACTACTGAAACAAAAATAATGATTTTAACTTTTGGTAACGTTTGGGGATGATTCTTTTGAAGGTAGGGCAGTAGGACCCAGCAGTCACCACAGACTGCTGAAAACAGGTCGGTTTCTTTATTTTAAAAAAGGCCATACAGACAGTGAAGTAGTTGAGCAGTCCTGATGTACTGGGGGACAGAGAGAGACAGAGACTGACAGCTGAAGATTGGGAATGAGATAGAGAAAGCAGGAGAGACAGGAGGAAGGAGAAGCGGGCGGGGGTGGGGTGGGGGGGGGTGGCCAATGAAATGACTCCGAGAGATAAAGAAAAGACCAGAGAGAGAGGAGGGCGAGAGCAAGGGAGAGAGATTCCAGCATAAAGAGACTGGAGCCTTCTGAGTGCAACTGTTAGTGAGACAGCAGTCTTCACATCCAGTCTACCCAACTGGCCAGCGGTACGTCGAGAGAGATCAGCGCCCGGAGTCTGACAGCGGACAGTCCCTGTCTTTACAGCTTCATCTCTGGACATTTGGCTACAGTGAACAAGCAAGGACTGGCAGCAAGAAAACAAAAACACACAGAGAAAGCTGGAGAGGCATGAGATGCGGGGGATTCCTGAGGGTCTTCCCTCCCATCTTGTGTCTCACTGATCGGGATCCCTCTCGTTTCCTGTAGGATTCACAACCAGAGGCTGTCTCTGAAAGGCCATAAATCAGAATTTGGAAAGAGGGGGAAGAGATCTCCACGTCTTGACGCAGAAGATGAGGGACTGGGGGGCCGGGCGATTGGGTGCTCTGCAGAGAAATGAGAGGGAAGGACAGTGAGGCAGAACCGAAGAGGTGGGAGAAGGAAAGGACCGCAGAGCCAGAGCCAAGAGGGTAATTGAATCTCTTGAACGGGAATGGGGATCTAGACGACGGAGGGGTGGGGGGTTACAAACAGAGAGAGGGGCAGGAGGTTCATCCACAGACGCGCAGCGACAGACGGAGACCCGGCGCCCAGCTGCTCGACTGGACCCGTCTCCCTGGGAGATGCAGGGAGTGCGCCTTCGTGGCACCCTAGGGGCAGCGGCGTGGGGCACGTGTGGACGGGCAGAGCGCAGATCCCTGCCCCCGGACTGCTGGCATCTCCGCTGGCTGCTGCTGCCCCTGCTCGGCGCCCTGCTGCTGTCGGAGGGCCGGGCAGAGAGGGCGACGACTGAGGAGGTGCTGGGAGAGACCGCCACCCAGATCAGCCTCAACAGCCCGGTATGTTCCACCGCTCATTGGCTCTTGCCCACACGGTGTGCTGATAGTATTAGGCGCCCGCTCGGCGTTGGCGCTGCCAGTTCAATATCTGTGAAGGGATCTGGCGGGTACAGCCCAGTAGGAAACAGGCTGCCCCACTGCAGAGCTGCTAATCTGCTGGGTTTCAAAAATCCATCCAAGTCAAAAACAAGACTGCTCTCTAACTCAAGTAAAGATGACTGAAATTGTTCAGTTAAATGATTTAGATCACCAGTCCATGTGAGCTCCACAAGGCACTTCTACCATTGAAGCCGAAAGAAAATGTGCAAGAATTCATACTGGCTAAATTAACTCTATGTTGAAAGCACTAAAATAATGAGCCAAGAGGGCATTCGGATTGTATTTGTCATTCCAGTTGTTAATTAAAAAGTCATTTTCACTAGGCTGTGTTGCTTGTCTAACCTAACAAACAGAATGGAAAATGAGTGCATGAAGAGTCAATAACAACCTTATAAGATGTCATTCTGAATGTAGTTAGATTATTATATATATATAATATGCTCTACAAGTAAGGGTACAAAGGTAAGAGTGCTTAACTGCTCAAATGTTTTAAAATGGTGTAAGTCCTTGCTTTTGTAGCTGAAGAAAGTGGATACTTCCACTGTTTTGGAGGAGTGAGGAAGAGGCAGACTTTTTTTCTGACTTTTTGGAATAGCACTACAGGAAAATAGATAACGCTCTCAATGTATGGCGCTTTGATCCATTTCAGGTGTTATGAACAGCATAGAGAAATAATCGTACTGAATGGGCAGAAAAGCCAAAATATATTAGCACAACTTCTGTCTTTGTTTCTGCTAACTGTGTTTGATGCAGCAAGCTTAACATAATCAGCATCTGGTCCTGACCTGCAGGAGACCCTGTTTCTAAACACAGGAGTGGATCAAACTACGATGAAGTGGGAGCACCCTTAGTTTTGTTTGCAATTAATTCTGACATTATGATGATGCAAAATGTAGGCATCTGGTCTCCATCACGGGGCTGTATATTTTAGAGAAATTTCCCGGCATATCATACAGCAATTTTATGACTGTGCCTGATTCATTTTTTATTTGCTCAGAGGTGCTTGCAGCTATGCTACATGTCATAACTGCATCCCAGATTTTCATTTTGATGTCGTTTTTTCCTGAACCGGGGTAACAAAATGTGCACCGAAAGCAAAATTCGGTCCATTAAAATGTCTTTCACTGTGATCAGAGAAGAGGGGTGATGGTTGGTCTCCTAGGAAAATATGGGCAGTTACACTCAGTAGGAAAGCTGCACGCATGTACAGTGTTTGGGAAACACTGACACGTATTGTAAAGCACTGCCAAAATTTCACACCTTCCCTCAGATCTGTGGTTGATTAGCTTGATGACAGCTGTGAAAGCTCGAATAGGTAACCAAAGGCTCTTTCACCCTAAGGGTCAGACCCACAATCAAACGAGAAGACAGGGTGTTTAACCCATCAGTGATTAAGATGACGAACCCTGGATAGGAAGATGTTCCTAACCGCGGGGCCCGCTAAGTAAACAGCAGGAGTAGGGTTTGTTTAGGGAGTTCGGGCCAAATAAGATGTGATGAAAGGAGCCCAATCCAGTGGCTTTTAGTTCTTAAACAGCTTGCGGATTGATGGCAGTATTAGCACATTAATCCTTTCCATGAAAAGCTGCTCTATATCCTCCTTCTGGGAGTTTACTGAAGGGAAGGAGAAGGGAAAAATCCTCCACTCCACATTGTTTATGCAAATTAAAATGAAGATTTATCATTTATATTCCTGCACTGTACAAATAAGATTTTATTGTGGAACATAATGCAGTCAGAAGTGTCGGCGCCTTCCATCTCCATCATACTCAGTAGGTGTAATAACTGTGTTTGTTGACTTAGACTAAGATGACAATATGTCGTCTCAGTCTATAGTACCCGAGATTCCTAATGGATTAACTTGTTTAAGGTATGAGACGTGAATTCTTTCTGCCGTGCCCACACCAGAATCATCAATTCCAACCTGGAGTCTGTGAATTTCTCTTCTGAAATGGAGTTTAGTGCTCTCAAGCTCTTCATTGCTCCTCTCTTTCAATGAAAATATAGTCTTTATGGATTAGGCTGCAATAACGTAGCACATGAGCTCAAGGTACAAGTGTGGAAGCAGCCAAGCCTTGCGGACTTGCTAACACTTGCCTCACTCTGACGCCTCGGGGACAGCTCCCTGTTTTCATAACTCACAGCTCGGGAAGCGGACCGCGAGCTGTCAGAGCAATGCACGCGCCGCGCAGAGAGCTCGTCCAGGGCAGGGTGATCTCAGGCCCCCAGGCCCGATCGGTGTCTCCCCGATGCCTAAGAAAACTAACGTGAATGCTCGCATCGAGCAATTGAAACCTGTTTGTTTGTGAACCTGCACGATCGGTAGTAATCAGGCAAGATATCTCTGAAGGATTACAGGCTAGGCTGAAGCCCCAGCTCTGTCCTGGAGCCCAGCAGGTTTCCTAGCTCTCTTTTGATCATCAAACACCGCAGTACTGTGGGGAAGGGATTAAGCCTTAAACCCAGCATAAACATGTTTGGCCCAGGGTCGATGCCTGGCCATATTGCCAAGTATATGAGACCTCAGAGCAACTAACTGGCAAAAAATGTTAGATACAGTAGGCTTTTCTTCTTTTCTTATATTTGTTATGTTATCTTCCATGGAGATGGGTCCACTCCGTCAATTTCTGATTACTATGGCTGGATGGCAATATGCAGTCAAGCGCTGAGGGAGAATCCTGACCTCTCTTCCGGTTGTAAATCCATTTTTATGTTGATGTGGTGGATCTCTGGACTGCCATCCCTGCTCTTAAAGCGTCCTGTTAACCTGTGACTTTGTTTTCAATTGCATAAATGACTTTGACTTGTTCCGAACAGAAAATGCAACAGCAGGCTTCAAAACAAATCAGATTAATTGCACGTGATCATTTCATTTACTTACAGACACCTCTGTAAGACACACATCCATCTGTCAAAATCAGAAAACATCTGAACTTTAACAGAGAAGATAGCTCTAAACTTTCACTTTAATGCATCTATAATGTTTTGTTTCTGTACTGACACTCATGTTTTGACTCGGATCAAGTCTATGAAATTATATTATGAAATGTTTAGAAGCACATTATTAGCCAAGGAGCTTACATGCCGTTTGGTAACAAAAATGTTGTAGCTCTCTGCGTACTGTTTTGAACTTGAATGAACATGTCCTCATCGATTTAACGCGAGCGGTGAACAGGACTTTTGAAAAAGAGTCACTTTCAGAAGCTAGATTGCATGGCATTTTTCCAAGTAAACAAAAAAAAAAAGCGATTTTGCAAAGTCCTAGCCAGTTCATCTGTGTGCGAGGTGTTGCGCTCTCCCTGTGGGCTCTGGTTTGAAAAGCGCAGGCCGCGCGGGGCTGACACCGGGCCGATGACTCCCACACTCTGGGGTGGTATTGCTCCAGGCCTGTGTGAGCTCAGTAATTGAGGGCTGCAGTACGAAGCAGTGGGGCTTTCTTGATGGAGTGGGGATCCAGGTGTGCAACAGCAGTTCTCTGAGGAAAAACCCTATGGCATATTCTGTTTTTATACCAACAGCGCAACATCAGAACGTGGTACAGTCTTGTAACATGGTACACTTACCAAAACACAAATCCCCTCATGTTAGAATACTGGGGATTTTAGTACATGTACAATAAAAAGCCAAAATCTAATGCTGCTTTCAAAAACAGCTGCAGTTTCATCTGTTCTGGGACATACCACATTCACTCTTGGGCAGTGATGTAAGTGGTAGCTTTCAATGCTGTGTAAGATTTTTAACTTAAATGGTGACTTGAATGGTAAGACCGAGGGTGTAGGTTTGGTCTGGCCCTGGGGCGGGGCTGCTGTTGTCTGCAGCTTTTCCAGGTCTCTTTACGGCACCAGCACCTGTTAGCTGGGAGAAGCTGCTAAACCCACCTGGATCCAGGCCGTTAGGAGCCCAGTTGGACTGAAAACCTACAGGTGCCTCCAGAACCAGGCCTGGAGCAGGAACCCTGATGGCAGTGAAAGCACGAGGATTTGGTTTCTCTAACCCACTGTTTCCGCTGCAGGAGTCCGAGTCCCCTGAGGTGGGCTACATCAACCCACGCAGCTCCTGGATGGTCTTCAAGCAGAACTCCGACAAAGGGGTAAACGGGAAGGGGAGACATACTGAGAGGAGAAAACTGAAGGTGAGCTCACAGCCAGAGCGATCTCCTTTCCCCAGGGGCTGGAGGTACCCTTATACATTTACCACACACTCCCTGTAGTTTTTACTATGCATTTACCATTATGTCTTTATTGTCCTTGTTTTCACACCATGCTCACACTGCACCAGGCTATGGAAATCCCGCAGTGTACTATAGCCAACATGCAGTAGAAACATTAAGCACGGCTTCGTATTTCCAAAGTCCTGTGCAGGCTTCCTTGGAAATAAAAGTAATTACACAAATAATCTAATGTAAATTAAAGTTAGGATCTAAGCAGTGGCAAAATGTTTACTGTCCAATTTATATTCATAGAATCAAAGAGCTAGGTTTCTGAGAACAAGAACAATCGTTGTGTTTCAATTCCATACCTTGGCTTGCCCTGGAGGGTCCAATGGCTTGTCTGATTGTGCTTTCCTGGGACCTCATCATCAACTCTCAGATGTCACCTTTTTAATAGAAAGAAATCCTCAGTCTGAATTCATATCTGGACATGTTACTGTACATGGAGAGCAAGAGCAGCATAGTGGCGCAGGAGTTAGCATTGCCGCCTCACAGCACTGGGGCCCTCGGTTCAGTTCCTGGGCTGCTATCTGTGTGGAGTTATTATGTTCTTCCCGTTATTCACATGGGTTTCCTCCAGGTATTCTGCTTTCCTCCCACAAACACAAAAACAGACTGGTAGGTCATCTGGCTGCTGAAAAAATTGTTCCTGGTGTGATTGTGTGTCTGTGTGTGTCTCACAATGGACTGGTGTCCCATCCAGTTTGTAACCGGCCTTGTGCCTGGTGCTTGCTGGGGTAGTCTCCGACTCCCCCATGACCCTGAATTGGATAAAGCAGTTAGAAAATGGATGGATGGCCCTGCACAGCACACATGCTCTGAAATGTGGTGTCTTTCTTATGAACAGTTCTGTTTTCTTAAGCCAATAAAAACCTGTTATCTTTTCACATCTGGAAGAGCAGAACTTTAAAAAAAAACATTAAACAGTGCTTCGTTCATCATCATCATCATCAACATCACTGTCCATAGAGTTTCCAACTATGTTGGTGTCCAATGCAGCGCCATTGTGACATTGCATTAGATTTCAGTCGTGTTTTTTTTACAACCGGCAGCTTCTGCACTCTGCCGGTCAACCCTCTCCAATTCCACGGAATTGTGGCCCCTATGGCAGAGTTGCCCTGACGTGGGACACGAACCCAGGGCCCCGCTTTGTACAGTACATACCCAGAGTTATTTATATGTACTGTAATATTACAACCCTTAGCTCGGAGGTGCTTGGTTTCACTGGTAAGTGGACCTGAGTTTATGAGCCTGGTGTGCAGTTGTGTGTGTGTGCGCGCACGTGTACCGTGCTCGCAGCTAACTGCTGTCATATCTGTTTCCTCCCCAGCATGGTTTGCCCGGCCCCCCAGGGCCACCGGGCCCCCCAGGGCCCCCCGGCCTTCCAGCGCCTCCCCTGGCCCAGGAGGACCTGCTGCGGGAGTTCAAGCTCATGCTGAAAGGTAAGCAAGCGCAGGACTGGCGCCCCATCTGAGCACTTCCACAGGCACGCTGTCCAAGACAACCGGGCGCCAGCCTTACAGCAAAGGTGAAAACACGTCGCTCTGTGCGGAGGCGCTGTACTGACCACCCCCAAAACGCTCCAGCCAGCGGGCCAGCACTTTCCATCCCGCTGACGATACCTCCCGCCGACGCTGCTCTTCAGTGACTGCAAGCTCTGGAAGCCCTTCGTGCCCCTCTCGCTCTCCCCCCAGTTGTCACCGGAATAAAGAACACTCAAACGCTGTGTTCTCAGGTTTCCCGGGCTTGCCGTTCCAGGTCGGATTCCCATCCCGATTTCCCCGGGGATGAGAACACCCTCAGCCCCTCCTCTAGCTCCCCCCTCCGGAGCTCCGAAACGGCCTGCTCTAGACTTCTCTTTCTGGACCTGTCAGCAGGACGGTGTGGATCGGAACTGCGTGTTGCCCTTCCGTGGCACCAGCGCGGAGAGACGGGGCCAGAGTGCTGTTGCCCCCCACTCCCCACGCGCCTAAGAATGTTTTTGATGGCTCGGCAGAGAAGCTGGCAGCCCCCACTCTGGGCTGATCCCTTAATAAGGGTAATTTTCCGGAGCTTGGATGGGACTTGGCTCTGCCAAGGAATTCCACAGATTCCTCCTGCGGGCTTTTTCCCCTCCTGAGCAGAGCTCTTGTGGTTGGCGGGGTGGTTTGGGGGGGAGGTGGAGGTCTGAGGGATTCTGGAGAAGGGCTTGGCGCTGTTCCACGAGGAAGGAGGCAGGCAGACCTGGGAGAGCAAGGAAACCCGTGAAACAATCCTGACATATTTGTGTTAGTGCTCCGACACAAGGAGCAGCAGCGTGTTTTGACATTCGCATAATGGCCCTTATTCAGTGGAGGATGAATGGTATCAGAGCTGGGTGGAGCCGCAAGCTAATTTGCTTGCTTTTTCCTTCCCAAAGGCCTGGGTGTGACACTAGCAGCCAAAGTGAATAGGGTTTTGTGGCGTTTAGTTCTTAAAATATTTCATTTGCTTTTTTCAGTAGGCAGGTACAGAGGACACAGGAAGAACATACAATTGCAGAGGGTGAGGAGCAAGAAGGGCCTGTAGGGCTAAGGAGAGACAGGGATAGTGAAGTTCTCCTAAAGCTGAAGTAGTACACTAGCTTATACCTATTTCATGTGGTTTCACTCCTTTCTTGCTGCACTCAATGTGAAGTCTGAGGAAGGCGACGTTTCTTCTTAAACACCGCCAGCTAGCTCTTCTTCCAAAAATAGCTTCTCAAAGCAGTCCACCAGGCCACGTGAAAGAAAGAGCTGAATTAGCTCAACGCTTCGCTGAAGACCTCACAGAAAGGAGCTGTTGGTGTAATGACGAATTTCCTCACTACCTTTTTGCCAACAGTGTTTCCACTTGGGAGCCTGATCTTGTCAGATTTCAGAAGCTAGGCGAGGCTGGGCCTGGTCAGGATGGGGATGGGAGACCTCTGACAAAAAGCAGGTTGCTGCTGTAAAAAAGTTGGTGAACCAGTAGGTGGTGCTCTTCTGCAGTAGCCAGATTTTCTAAACCTCAGTCTGGGGAAGACTGTGCAGTTGGAGGAGATGCTGTCTTTTGGATGAGAAAGACATTCAATGAATACTTGGCCATTAAAGATGCCACAGAACTGTGTGGAAGGGGTGTTAGCCCCAGTATCCTGGCAAAATTCAGGTTTGGGATTGTACAGTCTGGTCTTCCTAACGTTTCACTCCACTGGTGCATTCCATCTGTGCAGTGGGGCTGCTGGTGCAGATTGGAGGCCAGGAATCACCTGCATGCAGCTCTGCGGAGGACGAAATAGGCCCCCTCTCATATACTGTATGTGAAGCACTTTGGGATGAAACATGCTATCGAAATGCAAATAATATTATCACCTTGTTTGAGTTTGCAAAGCCTTTTCACCAACGTTTTTTTTCCTGTGCGAGGCAAACTGGTTTCTAAAAGGAAAGAGCAAAAAAGACAAGCATACCAGAAGACATGAACAACAGGGTAGAAGAGCTGAAATCCAGTTGACATGACAAGGTCATCAGAGAGTTCTCAAGCTCAAACACTGAGGACTATCAATAATCTCTGTTGCTCTTCTTACTAGATCAGGGATAGGATCACGAGTCCCAGGGTCCTGAAGGTTTTAAAGGCATCTTTGTATGAACACCTATGAAGCACAGCTCAACCAACGTCTTACCCACTTAATTGGTTCAATGCCTTGGTACGGTTCTGGGATGGGATGAAAATGAGAAACAAACAAACATGGCACTCTAGGACCAGGTTATCTGTCCCTACACCACATGCATTTCCTCTTTCACTGTTAGCATTCACTGTGATCACGCCACCTTAGCCCACCCAGCTGAGGTCTGACCACTCCCTCTCTCTCTCTCCCTGAGCAGAAGCGGCTGCCAATCGCGGTGCCCTGGAGCTGATCGTGCGGTGCCCCCTGTGCGACCCCCAGGTGGGGCTGTCCTCCAGCCTGGCAGAATCGTACCCGCGCGTGGGCACGGCCTTCCACTGCCGCCTGCGGGGCAGCCTGCCCGTGCGCCGCCGCAGCCTGCTGGAGCTGCAGCCGTTCGCCAGTGTGAGTGGATCCTTCACCCGCAGAGACAACAAACCGCAAAGACCTGTCCTTAGTGTGGGGTGGGCTGAGCTCTGCCACACCACTGCCACTCAGGGCGATGCCTACCAGCCACTGGGCAGGACAAACACCAGCCTCCATGCCAACAGTGACGATAAAGAGTATGCTCATCCCCTCGTCGTTTACGTATACCCATTTCAAAATGAGCTGTCCCAATTTCCCGTCTCTTCTCAAACTCCCAAACTCAAAACACTTCATTGGCACTGATGAATTACAGTGTTGCCAAAGCAATAACCATTAGCGCACACTTGCTGTTCTGAGACATTTACTAGCAGTTTGAACAAAACTTACTATTATTTGAGAGTAAGTAAAGGTTAATTCCACGGAGAACAGTAGAAATTAGAAACACAAGGTTGAGCCCCCTTCAAGCTGATACAGCTTCTCACTCAAAACTCAGCCTGAGAGGCTCTCTCTGTCCCTCTCTGTGACAGGAGATCCCATATAGGGCTGCAATGTATTCCTCCCCCATTTACTCCCCTACCAGGATTGATAGCTGTTCCGATTTTGGCAGGTGTGGGAATTCTGGGATTAGATTCATTATTTTGAGGAAGAATGTGTGTCCAATCCGTGACTGTTTCGTGCAGTGCAGCAGCTAATGGAAAGAAAGAAACTCTCTCTGTTTCTCCCTGCTGGCAGTGCAGACTGGCTGTCTTTGCTTTGTGTTAGTTCTGACATGCATATCAGTTACCAGCAAACCACAAAGTGTTTTCTTTAACACTTTAGATTAAGCTGTGTAAATAAGTGGTTTATTTATTCTTTCAATGATTGCTTTACGATGTTGACATTGTGTGGAATGTCAATTAAGCTCTATAGATACAGGGTCGAGTTCATAATAACCCATAACCTAACCCCTAATCTCACCACTAGCAAGTATTTCAGGATGCTCTTGTAGAATGCTACAGATTCTCAGTTCCTAGTAAACTGATGAATTATAGACAGCAGTGTGGAAAGTTACTTTTAAGAATCCACATAAATATATTTTAAACAGTCATCAACAGAATGACACTTAACCACTTTCCAGCCATTCCCGCCAAATTATTATTAAATAAAAAAGTAATTCCTTACACAAGTAACTTCTGACTGTAAAAGTAACTTCCTCAACACATGTTATAAAATATCCACTTAACCTCTAATTAAGCAACGTCATCTGATTGCACACTGTTTTCTGCTACACTGAGGCACACTAACCTCAGCCTTCCTTTGTAAGACGTTAAACTCACCAGGTTAGAAACGCCAGACCAGAAGGATATGAAGAGCATCCTGAGAGACCGTTTGTGAACCTCCATGGCCTGAGCATGTTCATGATGAACGCGCTCTTCTCTCTCACAGCCCCCCGATGAGGAGAGTCAGTTCCAGCGCGGGCAGGGATTCAACGCCAGCACAGGCCGCTACACCGCGCCCGTCTCTGGGTTCTACCAGCTCACTGCCACCCTGCTCATAGGTACGGTCACGGGGACCCCGGCGCCCTCTTCCTTTCCCTCGCACGCCCCGCGGCGGCGGACACGGGCGACACTCTGGCCCCGAGGGCGGACCCACGCTTTGACTCACGGGTGCTCTGTGTCATTCCCTTCGTGAGCAGTCTTCTCCCCCATCCGTGTTTTCACCCCATGGGGTTCTCTTCATCCCATCTCTCCTCAGCCCTGCTCCCATCTTGTTGTCTTTCTTTCTCTCACCTCAGCTCTTCGGATTAACACGTTGGGAAGCCATTCATGTCCTGCCGCGGAGCGTTTTCCGTTTCTTTAACGTCTATTTACTTAAGAGGTGGAGGCATTTTACAGAACGCTGTGCGCGTCTGACGTAGTGCATCACGCTCACAGGAAAACACAACCAGCAAAATACCTACCATAAAACGGAGCACATACAAACACATCCAACTCCAGTCGCTGGTCTATTAAGGCTATGTATTAACCCTACAGTAGGTAGTGCAAAATAGGACAACTAACTCTTAGAGCATGTGAGTGGTGCTCAGGTACAATATACATGAAATAGGCAGATACCAGAAGCGCAGAGCAGCCTCTGTGCCTTCCTGTGTTTGGCCCTCCCAGCTGTTGGATCACCCCTGCCCAGTGCTCTCCCATCCCCAGTGGGAATGTTGCCTGGCAGTTGCTGCATGTCCTTGTGCTGGGGTGTGTCTCTCAGATAAGGGGTGTCGCAGTTCTGAGGAACAGGGTGGGCTCGTTTTCCCGAGAATTCCCGCCCAGTGCACCAGTTAGGTTTTCCAGGGAGTCACAGCCTTGCCCAGCCGTGCTGTATCCCTGCGTGGGCCTGAAGGGCGGGGCTCTTCAGCGGATCACTGCTGTGGACGACGATGCTTTCTGTTGGCACTGCAGTGCAGCTGCCCACTGCTCCTGGTGCTTTCACGGCTACCCCCTCCCTTCCAGCGCGTGACGCACACTTACTCCCCCGCCAAACACAGGTCAGCTCAAACTCGAAAACAGTTCTTTTGCCTGTTTTCAATACCTTAATGGTCTTTGGCTAGATTTGTGATGTTATTTTCAGAAGAAAAAGAAGGGAGCAGTAAGAGAGTTGTATTCTGGAGCCGTTGAGAATTCCTCTGTACACACATATAGACACTCACTCACTCACTGCAAACTCCACACACTCATTTAATTATGATTTCCAGACTGGCAAGCTAAACCGTCAGCCACTATAATATGCTATAAGTAGATGTATGTGCTAATATATATATATAATATGCTAAAATGAAGATGACAAATGTTTGTATAGATAAAGGATTTGCAGGGATTTGGGATTGTCAGTCCTGACGACTGTCCGGTCTCTCCCCAGAGCCCAGCGAGTCTCAGAGAAAGGCGCAGGCCAGGCCGCGGGACAGCGTCCGGGCCTCCATCTGCATTGAGTCCCTGTGCCAGAGCAACATGTGAGTCCCACTGATGTCTGCAGCTTTTCAATCCACCTTGGGTCTCCAGTTACTGACCTGGCTAATTCAACTGATTTCATCTAATGATATCACTTTTAACCTCTTTCTCCTTCGTATAAAGCAGACAAGGTTTGAATGAGACTTACAGACCCTGGTTGATTGAGGTACAATGCCTTTTGCTGACTTTAATTCTTACTCCTAAGGTTACCTGATAACAAAATACTGAAATACGTTGTGTGCCATTTGTCACAGCTCCTTTGTAAATTGTGCATTCAAGAACTTTAAACATTTGGAAAGTAATAATTATAAGTATTAGACAACAGAGAGATTTCCATTTAAGAGTACTAAGAGCAGTATTATGATGTAATTTATTAGTATTAAGGACATTTTGAAGCAAACAGGCCATTCAGTCCATTCACGTTAATTATTTTCCTCTGCACTAAGTGATTCTATTGTTGTGTCAAACTCACAAGGATACCAGCATTTCCAACTTTTCCAATCACTGATCACCCTCTGTGTGAAGTGCTTTCTAATAGCAGTGTGAATCTGACTGTTAACTAGTGCCCAGTCATGTCTCCAATCCTGCACGCTGACATGCATTTGAAAGAAACACATGCCCACTTCAGTCAAATCCCCTCTCAGAAGAGAGTTACCAACAGAGGAAAAGATTAAGTTCTTTCACTCTGTCCTCACGACTCTAAACCATGGAACAGACAGGTCCTGTTTATGATATTGACATGAGCTCTCTAAACTTATATCTTGCAATTCCTGTGTTGTACTCAAGAATTCTGCTGTATTTGCCTTTTTACCACTTCTGTGCATTAATCTGCTTAAGTAAGTGAATCACGTCCCACTTGGGTACTTTCTGATTCTGTGCTGCTTGTACCTCGCAGTTGGATTGGATGCACGCACAATGCCTCTTTATTCATATTAAAGTGACACAGAAGGTGGCAGTGCATTATTTTTAGCGAATGAAAGTTTAAATGTTCACCTCGTGTTGGTGTGGGTCTCCTCCCACTGTCCAAAAACATACTGGCAGGTTAATCAGCTTCTGGGAAAATTGGCCCTGGCATGAATGTGTGTGTGTCTGCCCTGTGATGGACTGGCATCCCACCCAGGGTGTATCTTGCCTGTTGCTTGCCAGGATAGGCTCCGGCACCCCCATGACCTTGAATTGGATAAAATGGTTAGAACATTTATGGATGCACGTGCTTTTGTTTTTTAAAATTGGAAACAGTTATAACAGGAGGGGCTTCACACATTAAACAGTTTGTTTCCTGTTGAGTATACACCTGGGTTTATCTTGGGGGAGGAAAAGCAGTGCTTCATAATGAAGTCCTTTCGGGCCCAGAGAGTCCTCTAATGAAAGGTTTTCTTTGTGAAGGTCCTTAGAAGCAGTCGCAGGACTGGGGTCTGCAGGGAGCCCGTTCTCTGTGCTCGTCACAGGCACCTTGTATCTACAGGTAGGAGCTTCTCCCTCACTCTTCCCTACCGTAGGGAAGTCTGTTTATACAGAATGTACAGCTGTTTAAATGTGGATCTTAGTCAACAGGACAGGGATATTTCAACAAGAAAAGAGAGTATAACTACAGTTTGATTTCAAAGTCTCAGAAGCTAGCTTCGCTGATCTGAGTCACAGCACTAAGTATGTGTACTCTCATTTCATTTGCCATGTCCAGGCAACTCATTTGCACTGACTGGACAAGCCTCAATCCCACTGTACACGAAAAGACTGGCCTCTCAGAGGTTATTGGAACAGTCTCATGTTATACAATGCAACCTGGTAGAAGAGCATTAAATTAGTTCTTATCCAGTATTCTGTAGTGAATTTCCATTCTGTAGATTAAGCTCAGCATTAGCATAGACAATGCATTGCAAAAGTATTAACCCTTATCCAACTATGTCCATGTTTATTGAATTAAAAATAGTGTAGACATTTTTAAACTGAAAACTCAAAAACTAAAATATATTGTTTGAGTAAGTATTCACAGCCTTTGGTATTGCAAACTTAAATTAGTTCAGGTGCACAAAATTATTTTGACAAGTCAAATAAATAATAAATAACTGAATGGTCTCTGTGTGTAGTGATACGAGTTCACATGATTTCGGAATAAACTCGCCTGTCTCTGTAAGGTGCCTCAGAAAGGGATTTTCAATCCAAGATTCAATCAACCAAGAAGACCAAGGAGTTTCAAATAGCTCTGTGATAAAGTTGTAAAAGGCAGAGATCAGGAGAAGATTATGAGAAAAGCTCAAAGACACTGTATACACCTTTGAGCACAGTGAAATTAATTATTAGCTGGAAAGTGTCCTAGATCAGGCTATGTGTCCAAACTGAGCAGCCAGTCTCAAGAAACTGGGAGGCCATTACTGACAAGAGCTACAGAGATCAATGACTGAGAGGAGAGACAGTGTCCACGGGTTAAATATATGTGGACTTCGACTACTGTATGTGTTTACAACACAAAGCTGCGAGGAGCACTGACGTGATACTGCAAGTATGGTGAATTTTGTTTTGTGGTCAGAGGAGACTAATTAGAACAGTTTAGTCTAAATGTATCATTTTAAGTATAGTGCAAAAAACACAGCACATTACCCAGTCAACACCATCCACACTGTAAAGCACAGTGGCAGCGTTATGTATCGTTCTGTTCTACTATGGTTCATTATGTATATTTCTTTTCTACTATAGTTCATTATGTGTAGTTCTGCTTCTCATCAGCAGCATCTTCCTGTAGTTTGTGTCTTGGATGAAGTTTGTAGATTGAGGGGAAACAGATGGAGCAAAGTACAGTATAAGCCAATGTTATACAGTCCTAAGGAAATATGAGGAAGATCTTATATAAGGTCTTATACAAGGAAAATCTTTTTTGGCTAAAGACATAAAAGACCTAGAGTGACTACAGAATAAGAAAGTGAATGTCTCTGAGTGGCCCAGCCAAAGTGCCCACTTGAATCTGATCGAAAATCTGAGGCAAGGCTTGAAAATGAATTCCTATCATCAGTCCCCTGACAGAGGCTGAGCCAGTTTGGAAAGAAGAATGATTAAAAAAAATAAAATTGCACCAGTCAGGTGTATAACTATTCTACAGACTCACAGCTAATTTAGAATGCTCATTTCAGCACCAGCAAAGACAGGGTGACACTTCAGTTACTGACTTGAGGATAAGAATGTAATAAAACATCAGTTTATGACCTCTCCTGGAATTCGTCTTTCATAGATATTTTGTCTGATGTGTAGCATCATCCATAATTAAGAAATATTAAAATTATCTTTATCTGTGTAAAGAAATAGGAAAAGCTAAACATTCTCCTAAGTACTGTAGTAGTATTGTCTGTACAAGTTCAGTACAGTTAACAAATTATAACTAGGGCAAACTAAAAATATTATGTCTAGTCTGCTAGTCTTGATTGCCTTGAAGACCACATAAAACATCAGCTCTCCAGATCTCTAAATGAGACTTTTTGTTGTTTGGAGCCTCTGAATCAAACAGGATTTACTTAATCCTCTGCCAATCCCTCTGATAACTGAAAGAGTAGCCCATTAGACTATGCAGGTGATTGCATCTGACTTTCAACAAGCATGGATTTGGCTCTCTGTGGGAGTCCCCTGGTCAGAATGAGAATACACCCTGCTTATCTGTACCATTCCTGTGAGAACTTTTCTGAAGAGCAGCTTTGATAAGTTCATGCAGAAGAAAGGACAGTGATCTTGCATGTAGAGGCACAATACCGACTCCTTCACTTTGTCTAATTGCTTAGATAATGTTTTTGATTTTTTTTTCTTGTTTCATTTCTGTACTTTTTTTCAAAGCCTTTTTGGTTATCTCTTGTTGCTTGAGTCAAAGGAGCTTTGTCACATTACTATCAGGTTCTGGAAATGCTACATGACTGTGGTGCGGTATTCACACATTGATAATCACATTTCTATTCGCCCTCGACCTCTAAGCTGAGATTCCACTAGTGGGTAACAGCAGCTGATAGTAACCGATTAATTTTGTAGCACTGCCTGCAAACCTTTACTGACAGTTGAGGGCTGTGACAGGGGATATCTCAACAAGGAGTTTTCGTCAGGAAGAAATTCCAATCCACATTCCAATCCAATTTAAGATTTCCAAAGATTGTCCCATCAAAGTGATCAAAGAGTTACTCTATGAGTAACCACCTCAAAGGAATGCACACACAAAGTGGAAAAAAAACACAGCTACAGCCGAAAGGTTACAAACAAGAAGAAGCCATTTGGCCCATCATAACTGTTTGATAGTTAGTAGCTAATCTATCTAAGATGATCTGAGTGTCTCATCCAGCCATTTCTTGAAAGAGTCCAGGGTTCCAGCTTCAATAATATGAAGGAGTAGTTTCTCCCATTCTCTCACAATGTTTTTGTGCAAAAACATGTCTCATGTTCTCGTGAGCTTGCAAGCAGAAGACAGTAAACAAACCCAGAGTTCACAAGGAATAACAACAGCCATGAATCAGATGCTTTGTGTATTAATTGGGTATTGAAGTTTACCAAGTTTTGGCTTAACCCGTGTGGTTAAGGAGGATGAGGAGGCTGGAACCCCATTCAGAGAGAGGAATTGACCAAGGGGGGGGGCTGCAAAGGTGGAGTTGGAGGTATGAACACAACAAAAATGCAAGACGAGGTTTGTGCAAAAGAGATATGTACAGTAAATAACGGAGGTCAGTAATGACTGTGATTTGAGTCTCACATTAGGGTGAGATTGGCTTTGTCTATCATTACCCGTCCCACACTTCAGTTAAGAAATTCCATTTAATAATAAGTTCTGAATTTTCAATGTCTCTTTCTCTACAGGCAGGGGAGTATGTGTCTGTCTTTGTGGACAACAGCTCTGGCTCGGCCTTCACAGTCCAGAAGGGATCACTGTTCTCTGGGATTTTGTTGGGGGTGTAATTCCTGTTCATTAATTCTCCCTCCTTGGAGCCCCACAAACTCGTGTTTTTTTTTCTTATTTATATTGCTTTGCTTGTTGTACTTCTTTATTATGGACAGACGTACAATCTTCATCATGCTTTGTTTCTGTGCTCGCCACGTTAACCCCTAACGAGGGACCTTTCGGGGACAATCTGGGTTTTTTTTGTATATACTGACATACCAATATAAGGATTGGTCACCATTGAAGGAGACTGCTCGTATCCAGCGGATTTTTTTCTGTCCACACAGCTGGGGATTCTGTATCCATGACTCTTGACTCTTGAATCAACAGGAGCAAATTCTGCCCAACCTCTCATTTCCACAGCAAGATTTTCCTGGGATTATCCTGAACTTCTGAGATCCTGGTTTAGGCAAACATAGAAGTAAAAAGCCGTGTCCAGAAGGAAACTAGAACTGCAACAATGACGCTTTCTGCCATTTGAACGCAAGAGCAGACGTCAGAAACCTACAGTGATTATCATAGATGTTGATCTGCATGGATAATAATGTGACAAATGGCACTTCGGCACTGCCTGTTCGGAAACGAAATGGGTCAAGAAGTCCGACTTCTTGGGAACTGCCGGCAATGATGGGAAACATCTAGAAACAGAAGGTGGAGTAGTTGCCAGCTGGAGAGACACTCAGCTCTTGTGAATTCCCTCAAGGTTTCGGGTGGAGCTGCGCCCTCTGAGCTGACTCGCGTCTGCGTCCCAGCGCTCTGGCCCGTCGCCAAGGCAATCCCCTCCAGCTTTGGGCGCTGACTGGGTGCGTGTCTGCCTGGTCAGGCCTGCTGTTAAGTTATGTTTGTAAATATATGGAAAAGGCTTTAAAATTAAAGTATAAAAAGATGTATTTTTTCAAATCCTGCACTGATCCAATAATTAAGCATCTAACAAGCCAAATAAAGAGCCTATATTTATTGCTTTCTGATATGTATCTGCCGCCACATGGTATATTTAGCTCGTTAAGTGTTTCTGTGTTTTATTGCAGATAAACACGTGCAACATTACTGGTTGTGCTAGCCCATGTAATGTATTCTTTTGCAGCATTTTAATGGTGTGTCCTTCCATTCATCTATTTTCTAATCACTTTATCTAATTACAAGGGTGATGACAGCATGCTGAGCATCAAAGAAACGTCACTAACAACTGCAAAGAACTGATAAATCACCGGCAAAAAGTCATTTCTGTAGAAGACAGACATTTTGTTGAAGTTTTACTGGCGCTGAAGTTTCACTGTGCTGATTAACCTCAATCGTCCATGGCAGGACTCTAATGAAATTCACAGGCTAGTAGCATGTGTGGCCACCACTGGCTGTGGGGCATGTTGGTTCCTCTTTGTAATTCTGCTTCAACAGGCTTGACATTCAAGGGGTTGAATCCCTTGTCACTTGTGCCCAATCAGTCCTCTCAATCCACCCAATGAGGTGTTTATGCAACAATCAAAGCTATTCAAGTCAGTCCGGTCAGCGCAGAATGATCAACTGACCAAACATCTAGTTAATACCCAGATCCACATTCTTTAGTCTTCTAAAGGCAGTAGTGTTAAGTTTCTTTTCATACCCAGTATACACCATGAAAACCACAACTGCACACAGGACTCAAAACAGGACCATTGATCACTGCATAGAATGATTTGTAAAAGTAGAGAGGAAATTTGTGGTCCCGATGCACACTTAGCCAAGCACTTTCCTGCGCAGGTGGCCATGAGCAAGCCATGCAACAGCGCCTCCTTCAATTGGCTGAGCAGCTGTGAATTTGCAGCGTCATCAGGAAGAGTTACACAAGCGCCGCGGCCTGATGCAGACTCTGCTGCTGGTGACGGCTGACCAGTCCTTGTTTTCAAAGAAAGGAACACAGGCTGGCCTTTTCCTTCCCCGATACTGTCGGTTAACCACTGACGCTGCAGCCTGGGGAGCAGGAAAATGTGCAACAACTGAAAAGGAATGCAAACTTGTCTTTTTGTGCTTGTTTCATCCCACAATTAAAGTTGTTTTTCCCTTAGCAGGGTAAGAAGCCCGCATGCACATTTAGCTCAAAAGTCAAAATGCTCCCTTAACATTTGTCGTGTCTGTCTGAAACAAATCCCTCTGTTTGGAGAAATCTGGGAACAGCTACTGTATAAGTTCTGCTTTATCAGCACAAGGCTGGTAATGTGATTCCCCAGTTGTTAAACCGTTCTGCTTTTGAGAAACAAGGAGTTACTTTGCCAGCATTAACAAACTCGCCCATGTACAACAAATGAAATGGCACATAAGGCACACAACACAAATATGAATTTCTCCATTTTGACCACTCACAAAGAGGCTGCAGACCAATATTAAAATGTATTTAAAATGAGATGTGAATAAAGGTCCTTACCTAAATGTGTCATTCTATTGGGAAGATTGTTCAGGATTTAAAAAAGAAGTTCAGGATTGTTATCAAGTCCACCTTTATTTAAAAAAATGTAGGAATACACATTATTCACATTGCTGAGGTAGTAAAAATATGCTCTGTAGTCACAATCTAAAGTTCTTCCTGAATCCTGTCAGTCTTTTCTTATGAACAGACACTGGGGAATGCACAGTCCCAGTCCTGGTTCCTTTAAGAAGCCCAGACAAGACACACACAGCTGTAAAGATGTGTTCTGATAACCAGCTCCATCTCTCTGCAGAATCAGAGGGATTGCCGGCTTGGAGCTGTCTCCCTAGGCCTCTTATCTCTTAGGCTTGATAAAGAGAGTTTCAGCCCTCTTATGGGCTGGAGTGTGTGCCAACTCCCCGTGACCACACACCTGACACAGAGCCAGACCTGACATACACATAAATATAAAAACACTTGCACTGAAACTGGCAGAAATCACTGCAACAACACACACTCTCCGCCGTTCACAAAGAAAAGCTTGTAACACCTCAGAGTACTTTACCTCTGTCTACCAGCTCTGCATCAGTCACCAGCTTCAGCTCTCCTAACTGCTATAAATGCTGTATTAAGCCAACCTGGGTGGCATGGTGGCATTGCAGTGCTGGGATCCTGGGTTCAATACCATACCTGGGGTGCTATTGTATATTCCTCTCAGTCCCAGGCAGGTCGATTGGGCTTGCCAGCCAATGACTGGCTGCCCATTCAGAGTGTCCCCTGCCTTGATGGGTTCTGGCTCCCCCGCAACCCTCCACTGTGAGAAAATGGAAGGACGGACTAAGCCAACGTCAAGCCTAGATCAATCAGTTTCACTCCCATCTCTTCACACGCTGCTGGTGTACTTTAAAGAGACTTTAGATACCTGCAGACACACCAGCATTCCAGGAGTAGGACTGGAGACTGCGTTAAACAGAATTAATTCTCGGTCCTTTGCGTCAATTATACGATATGGAGTACTAGAACACGTAAACACAAGAAAATACAATCTGTCAGTAAAGACCACGGCATGTATTTTAAATATTTTTTCCTGCTTGTCAATTTTACTCCAACACTTCTTGGTCCTGAGAAGTGCACTGTGTTCTCCTTCTCTCCAACAGCTAACTTTTTTGCAGCCAGAATCCCACCCGCCCCCTCAATCAGTGTGCGCGCTGCCGGGGGTGTCCACACAAATCCTAAAAATCGGTGCCGACAAAATGAGAAAAATAGAAGAGTGGGGAAACAGAACAGGTACGCTCATTCCAGGGATGAGAAAAAACCTCTGCTCTTCGATCTCTTACCTGCACTTTATTCCAATCAACCTGAGACTGTTTCCCGCTGTCCCTTGAGACTGATAGCTGTGACGAAGATGCAGCTGGACGGGACTTAGGAACAAGTAAAGGTTTATTCCACGCTGAAAAGAGAAGAAATGAGAGACAACATTTCGGCTGTGGAGCCTTCTTCATGTGACTCACCCAAAGAAGGCTCCATAGCCAAAATGTTGTGTTTCTTTTCTTTTCAGCGTGGAATAAACCTTTACTTGTTCCTTTGCAGCCTACGCATGCTGACGCAGCTCCCTACTTGACCTGTTTCTGACTTATCGTCCTTCCCTCTTGACAATGCGGCTGTAGAAGCTGGAGAAAGACGCCAACAATATTTACAGCATTAGAAATGATTCAGGAAACGGAGAACAAAACTAGCAAATGTGCGCAGACACAAGCTGGATTCATTATTACAGAATACATACACGGAGTACATTGTTTAGAACATTAATATTTAGTATACAAGTCCTGAACTTTTACAGCTTGACATCTTGTTTTCATTTTCTGCAAAGTGTAGCAATGAAAGACTGTGGAAAGTTGCTCCAAATGTTTTGGAACACTTTTCACAATTCATCCAAGTAGTTTCAACCACATATGGTTTGGAAACTGTTCACATCTGAGGGGGCCTCATTATCTTTCTGAGCGAACCATCAGGGTTTGGAGTGGATCAGAATCTGTGTGTGCTGTCAAGGTACCTTCAGTTTTATGCCACTACGCAAAACCAGACTCCAGTCAACCAATGTGCACTCAGTCCACTCGTACAGGTCCCCAATAAATAACCTGAAACAAAATCAACAACAAAAATCCTCTTTCAAGTTGGTCCACTGAGCCTACTGTAGCTTAACAGAAAGAAATTCGCTATTGAAACAACTAGCACTATTTTATTTTAAAATGCATGGTTGTCAAAACAGTGTTGCAGGAGTCAGCATTGCTCCCTCACAGAGCTGGGACCCTGAGTTCAATTCCTGGGGTGTTTTCTGTGGAGTTTGTTGTTCTCCCCATGTTTGCATGGGTTTCCTCTGGGTGCTCCCGTTTCCTCCCAAAGTCTTAAAATGTACTGGTAAGTTAATAGGCTACTGGGATAATTGGCCCTGGTGTGTATGTGTGCGTCTGTGTCTGTATGTGCTCTGTGATGGGCTGATGTCCTGTCCAGGTCCTGCCTTGTGCCTGTGAATTGGATGAAGAAGTTAGGAAACAGTTGGATGGAGGGATTGTTGTCAAAAATCCATAAGCAGTCCCACCAAAAGAAAGGTTCAGCTAGAGAACTGCACTGTTAAGAATCTCAATGTTTGTTTCCTTCAGTGATTTCATTCAAAAAGGGCCATATATTTTAAAAAAGTGGTTATCGATCCCGGCTGCAATGTCCAACTCTTTGAGAGGTTTTAACCTGGATGAGAATAATACTAAGAACCGATATCTGTGAGGTCTGGAAAAATCAAGAGACAAAATGTTTGTGATCACTGACAGTTTTCTATCACAATTGCAAAGAGACCCATTCAACAGCTATACTGTAGCTTTGGTTTTCAAAATCTCCTGACTACTTTTTCAGACACGTTCTTCTGCTTAACAAATAACAAATGTGTCTGTCTTAGTCAGTTTCATCCATACAAAGGTTTGTGAGCAGCTCTTTGCCGAGACCATTTTGTGCTTGTCTTACTATTTTTGTTTCTTACTTTTCTTGAAGAAATTCTAATGTATGTGTTTACTGCTATTTGGCTAGTGTTTGCGAGATCTAAACTTCCAAAGACTTTGTGCTGGTTTGGCACAAGGTCATTCTATCACATGTACAGTGGAATTAATAATAATTAATAATTAATAATATTTCATTTTCATTTTTATTTTCAATGCATCAATTAACGCATAATGTACACACTTAAAATGCCCTTGCATTACCTTCGGTTAAATTTAGTTTGATGCATTAGCCTTTTTATCAGGGATAGGGAACCTCCAGTTCTCAAGAGTTTAAATTCTGTAGGGTTTTGCATGCATCTTTCAATTTCAACTGAATTAATACATAAAACAACAGGTGATTTGACTTCAAATAATTAGTTCAATTATATCATTAAGATCAGAGGTGGAATGAAAACCAGTGCACCCTCAGGCCCTCCAGGGCTGGTTCCCCACCCCTGCTTTAGACGAGTCCTCACAAAAAGAACTTTGTTATGCAACGTGCATCAACATAAATCAGAAAAAACATACCTGCAATGTCACAGCACAACATAAAAACAAAAGCACCTCAAAGTGAAGGCAGAACTGAAAAGGTGGAAAAAATGAAAGGAGCACTTTCCACGAGGTGGCTCTAGACAGCTCAGACCGGCTGTATCTGTCAATCGGTATCTCGGAGGCCTCTGATTCCCCAAGATCAGGCTGTAACAGTCTCTGTGACCGCGCGGCGCCACGCGGCTGCTATCTGCGCAGGGGATCTGCCGGAGCTATCAAACGCAGACGGACTCTGCACTCCCCGCTCCCAGCCTCACACAGCGGAACAGCGCGTCTCCCCTCTAAACGTGTTCTTCAAAACCCTGTCTTCAAACCACCAGTCAGTTTGCTTAATTGTTTTTTTTTTTGGCTTGTGAATGACAGCAATAATGGATCTGTCTCGTGTACAGAGCCTTGGCAGTAGCTCATGTTATCTCTGCTTTCCTGACCTAAAACCTCAGAATTCACTGAAATCTTAAAACGTCTCCCACTGCTCCCTCTCCATATCTTGTTTGGCCTTCAACTGAAATGACAAAGCTGCCAAGCAGTATTTCTCAATTTTGTTGCATTAATTGCCTTTGAGCATTTTTTTTTCCTTTTTAGAACTTATGTGTCCTTAATTGAGTACTCCCATCCACATAAATTGGGATTTTTTTTTGTTGTTGGGATTTTTAACTTTTTTAAATATATTTTTTCATTAATAGTGTAATTATTCTAGCTTAAAATTCAGATAGAGCAGGAGGTGCTCTGTCCACAGTAACTCTATCCTGTAAATTTCAAAATTGGTCATGTAAATAGATTTACATACCAGCTTGACGAACATCATTGCTGATGGCGTAACCAAGCTGTATTGACCAATTCAACACCGATGCTCCTTGTGGAGGGCAGGACGCTTCTCAATGACTTGTTTTCGGCAAACTCATTCCATTTCCCAGTGCTTTTTGTTTCAGTGACTCAAAATGCAAACAGAAATGAAAATCTTCATGTTTAAACATGCTGCAGACATGGCCCAGGGTCTTTAGCATGTCAGCAACATTAAGGCTATTTTATTCTTAAAAAGAAAAAGAAAAAAGACAAGTCACGAGAATCAGTTTGTTGTACTTTTCAAACTTTACTTTCATGCAGCCGTAAGCATAAACGTTTACATCGCATCATTGCTTCATAAGTAAACAAAGGGCTTACACGAACCAGTCCAGCTAGGACAGAAGGAATGCTTCTTTTGTTTCTCCCATCTCTCCAAATCTGGCCGTATAAAAATGTTTTTTGCTGGCCCAGCTGGCCAGGGGTCCCATAGCTGGGGGGTCTTGGAAAGCAGGCCAGTGCGCTCCTGTCCCTTAGCCTCCTGGTGTGCGTGATGATGGGAATCCCCGACACACCCGGGCAGCGCAGGGCAGGATCCGGAGATCTAGAACTCGATGGCCACGAGTATGACCGTGACGTTGTCCGCGCAGCCCCGCCGCACTGCTTCGCTGGCCAGCCGATGGCACGCCGTTTCAAACTGGGCTTCCTGCCGCGCCTTCCCTTCCTTCTTTTCCAGCGCTTCGTCCTGCCAAAACACATGCAGGGGCTAAGCTCGGGCTCCGGCACAACAGAACTCAGATCAGCGTCTCTTCTCCTTGTTTACTCTCTTTACCACTGTTCTCTTGATACATGCTTGGAGTGCACAGAAACCACACTTTAATTGTAGGCAACCAAATGCATCATGCAGCCAATATGGATGATTTGAATTACATTGTTTTTTTTTCCCCCCAATATTTTTAATTTAAATAACCTGTCCCTTCGGTTTATTGAGAAAAATCAGTGAATATAGATATATTTAGAAATAGAACATTAATAGCTCACCTATCAGCATTGACTGAGAATATCTACTTGTGAACCAGAAAGGTCTGTTTTCTAAAACAAGACTGGAGCTCTAGGTAGAAAAATGTCAGCTTATTTTGGCAGGATAGTACTGACTTCGTATCGCCACTTAATTCTTGCTGTAGAGCTTGTGGTCATTTCGACAGTGAGTGTGAGCGATATATGTAGCCTGCAAAACAAGAGCTATGTAACTTAATACACACATACTTGGAAATGACAGCAAAATACATTCCAGAATGTAAAAAAGAAAACGATAGTGGATTTATAAACACACTTGTGCCAGAGATGCAAGTAGGAATTTTCTTTTGCAAAAAGTAGAGGAAGAGGTTTGTCAAAGATCCTGCAAACTGTTGGTTTTGAATAATGTAAGTTGAACCAGACCCTTCTGAATGACCTGAGGATAATTTCTCAGGGAAAAAAAAGACTTTTGTTCCAGATTTTAATTTATATAGCTTATATCAGCCTATAAACTATACAGTTTTGTAATCAAACTATAAATTAGCAAAAAAATGAACCACACAAAGCACACCTGTAATATAATGATCACAAGCAGCCTTCTGTCGGTCAGAGCGCCCAAGACACGGCAGAGAGACTGTCTGACAGATTGGTATTCCAGATTACACTCCTCAGGGGGAACAGCATTTGACCTACCTGCAGGATGCCCATCACAAACTTAACAGCTTCTTCTGGAGCGAAGACCTTAAAGAGGCCATCACAGGCCAGGATCATGAATCTGCCACACACAAAATTAAACGTCAGTGGTCTTTCAGCCAAAAAAACTTAGAAAGAGAAAATAAAGAAGGAAATTAACTAAAGAAACAGATAATAAAATTTATCACAGATCACCTTTTTCATGGAAAAAGACTTCCCACCGTATTGACTAATTCAACCTAAAGGACTTCTTTAAAATCAACGGCAATATTTGCATTTAAAACTGAAAAACAGGAGGCGCTGTTTTACACAAAGAGTTATGAGGGTCTGGATCATTCTGCTCAGACTGAAATCGATACTCTGGCTTCCTCCCAGAAAATAGCTGGATGAGATTCTTGAATCAATTAGGCAAACCGCTGGAAAAAGAAAACAGGCTACCATAGCTAAATGGACTCCTTTCATTTCCTCCATTCTTATGTTCTTGTGTTTGAAAGACCACAACCAATCATCAACTTACAGTGTGGGTCAGCAATGTACTGCATTTGTTATTAAAAGTCACTTATGCTGACACCCCAGCAGGGATCCACTAATTACTCATACCACACAAACTCTCAAACACACACATTCATTCTCTCCAACACACAAATACCACAGTTCTGTTTTTATTAGCATAAACCACCACAGATTTGGCCGTTCTCACAAGTCAGAGACTTGGCTACACTGACAAACACCATGTACTGCTCGTTCGAATGAACCAGAGATGCCGGCTTGTTTAACACTCTACTCTTCTGTACAATTGTTTCAGGCGGAAGGAAAGTGTTTCTAGTGGAAGGCTCCCTTTTGTCTGAGCCTCTGTGGAGTTTCTCAAAATTCCTAAGAGCTACTTGAATTTAAATAAACTTCCTTGTTGTTTTATCTAAGCTTGGCCTATTTTAAACAATACAGTCACTTATAAATGGATATATCCATCTGACTTTAAAATCTGAGACCTGAACTTGTTCGTCACTTTCACTGTCAGCTAGACACCTTGTCTTACCAGCATATCTCCTCAGAAAGAGTAATTTGCCTAATGGCCTTTTACAGAGACATGCACAAACAACCACTGGCTCTTCAGGGAATCAGCCATGCACGGGCAAACTGGCCAGTGGTTTACATTGTAACGCCAAGCAGAAGAGTAAATATTCGCCCACTCCTTCCGTGCCAAGTCGGGAAGTCCAGGGAATCACCTGAGGGGCTCGCTGACAGATGAGGGTGGGGTGAGGGGAGGAGTATGTCACTGAGCAGGGGAGTGGCAGACACAGCAGATAAGGTGTCTAGGGTGAGGGTCTCTGGTGACATCGGAAATGCTCAGCCTTAGGGACGCCTATGTGATTAACGAGGAGGAAAAGAGACAGAGCCATATCCACCACTGATAATATCTATGAAAATAATAAAAGTTTTTAGAACTGTCTGCCATGTCTTGAAAATCCTCGCCGCCAAGCATTATAACATTTCAGGTATGCTTTTTATAGATCTATGAGATCTGTAATATGGATCTATATAGATCTATAACAGGAAATCTCCCAAAAAGATTTCAGCTCTAACTGAAGTCTTTCATTGAGATCAAAGATAATCAATGTTATCCAGGGTTTGCTGCTGCCTGGCAAGGCAAGGCAAGGCAAGGCAAAGCAAGGCAAGGGTGCCCTGGCCAACACATGGCTGCCATCACAGACAGAGGCCAGATCTGACCAGGCAAACATCTAGAATACAGTGTTCACAGATGTGCTCATAAGGAGTGTCTTTACTGGTTCAGCTACTCAGAAGCCCCCAATATCTATGCTTTACAAGAGTGTTCAAGCCATTTCATTAGCCAGAATCCTGTGTGTCATCAGCTGTGTTGCACAACTGGAGTTACTGCCAGGGCAAGGCTGGGATTAGTCTGCCTCTGTTTTCCAGAAAAACCGTGACTTCTGTGACTTGACAGGCACCAAAAGGTGTGATGTGACAGACACTTTGCTCCTCCAATCAGCACTAATTCTGCTGTCGGGTGCTGTAGAGCCTGCAAAAAATGAATGGCACTGCAGATGGGCATGCTGGAGAATCCAGTCCATGCATTCTCTCTTATGTGGTATGTGGGCTGATGCTGGAGAATTAAGTCTTAAAACCAGCTGGTGAACCCAAACTGGCTGGGTATTAAATTACAAAAAACATTAAAAAGGGCTGTACTTGTCATTGGATGTGAGCTGGCAGCGGCGGACATCAGGCGTTGAGATCACCCCACAGCGCTTGTACTGGCCATCACCCAGCGATCGAGACACCTCCAGTACTCCCAGAATACGGCCGTCCCTACACGAGGAGAGAGCACCAGCAGAGGAGTTTACAATCAAATTCAGGCAAATAACTCTGCTGTAGCTGACAGTAAACGTCAGTTTTTGCTCATGTCTGAATGAACTACTTAACTTCAAGAAATAAGAGTTCGGACTGTTTTCAGGACTTATGAGATCCTTTTATCTGTATTTTTTTGCACTGATTGAAAGGATCTCTAATCAACATTTAGAACATTTTTTTAAGATTCAGTAGATTGGTCCTTCATTCCACACAATTCCAGAAAGAGCTGGAAAATGGGGCTAATGCATTCCAAGTTTGTCAGGGCTGTACTTGAAATGTTATGGAGGAATGGGGTACAACAATCATTCTTCCTTTTCCGGAGACTCAAGTTTAGAAAATTAAAGTAGGGGCAGGCCACGTATTATTATACTGCAGATGTTTTTGTAGGAATGCAAACAGGATTTTCCCTTTACACAGTATTGTAGGGGCATGGAACAGCTTTGTGTAGGACACAGAATCCTGGAATCCTTCTAGAAATGGCTGGCAAGCTTTCTCTCCGAAAGTGACAGTAAGGGCAAGCAGCCACTCCACTTTGCAACCTCTCTTAGGTTACTGCTCTCTTAAGCAAAGCTAATGTGGAGTATGGTGGCGAGCTACAGTAGCAGTGCCAATGGAGTAACTGATGTTCAATTAAGGTAGCAAAGCAGAGGTTGGACTGAAGTCATGCACTGGAATGGAACAGCAAAGCCAAGACTGCCTCTCCTTGCTCAAAGAATTTTTAAAAACCTTCTGAAGTTCCACTGCTGCCCACAATATTGCTTTCCACATTCCTCCTGTCGTTCCATGATGTATTGGTGTTTACTCATGATGTAAACAAAAACAGGCATAAAAGGGGGCTTTATTTTCAGAACAAAGCTGTCTAGACATCATTTTTGCATATTTGTTTGCTCATTTAAATGTGGTTCAACAATCATTATAAGATTTTTCAATACTCAGTAGAGTGTAAAAAGGAATTTTAAATGGATGAGGAAACCAGGATACCCACTTCCAACACAAACCTTAAACCTTTATGATACACAAATCTAAGTTATAGATGTAGGAATTTTTTTTTTCCCCTCTTACTTTGGTAAAAAAAAAAATCCTCCATCATAAAATAACAAGATTATTTCAAAGAATAGAAACTATCATGAAGTAACCACTGACTACCCTACAGGTTTAAGAGCCTCATTACAGGGTAACCCACTAGGGGATCCCGGAATTGGGTGAACAACTGGCTACTGCCCTTGCTGTGTGTATTGATATCTTCATCCTTACAGGATGTTGTATAAATGAACACCCTCCGAAATAACTCGCACTTGAAACTACTTATGAACTGAGCAACCATTCAGCTAATATCACATCTTCAAATTTATAGTGATGAAACACCAGGGATGAATATAAAACTCCTGTCTTCTCCTTAAAAGACGAGCAATAAACAAAGGGACTTCATAGAAAAAAAATGCTATGGAACTTCAGGCATGAATATGTAATGTCAATGATCGAGGTTATAAGTCTTAAAAACTTGACAACACCATATTACCATGTCTTGGTAATACATAAAAATCTAGTCTATGGAAGAAAGACTTCCATGTATGAAGAGGGACAAAAAACAAGGAAAGGTCTATTTTCTTTTTAAAATACAGATCTGTGCGTGTTTTGATATCTAAATTATTCAAGCTTCAGCTGGTAGCCTCTCCCCTCACACTCAAATTGCTGGCCTGGACTGCTTCAGCCCTGTGGAGAGACAGGGGTGGGGGGGCACCGTCTCCACTGCTGTCAGTCTCCTGGCCTCTCAAGCACTGCTGTCATCAACCAACCCCCCCCCACAGCTGCCCCCATTACACATATTATGAAAAATCCACTTATCAAAACAAAAAACATGCATCTAACTGTTTATGCGCACTGACAGCTGCTGCCATTTAACACCCAATTTAGCTTAATTACGCTGCTGCGGCATGGCATGTGAAAGCCGAAACGCGGAGCCGCAGTGCAAACAGGGGCGCTGGGTGACAGCTGAGGGCTGATGTGCGGTTGTCTCCTCTCTAATTGTTTGGAATCAGCCCGCTGTCTCCTGTGTAATTGCCTGGGTGCAGCCAGCTTCCGCAGGGCTGCAGAATGAAGGCTCTGTTACCCCACTTGCTGTCTGCGCTCGGTGAGCTGTCAGTCTGGGATCTGAACAGAACCCAAGCAACACTTCGGATGTGCTCAGCTGTAAAGGGCTGGCGAGTAAGCGCATACTTAGACTTAAAACCCCCTTGACTCTCTGGGTTTCTGCGGCAGGAGTCCTCAGTCCTGAGATTGTTTATGCTTTGATTTAGGTTTCGCTGCCAGTTTTAAGTTTTTTCTTACAGGAATTATTCAAGGCCTGGCTGAACCAGAATTCTTGCACTGCTAATGGAGGAGAGTGGGTGAGACAAACAGGAGTCTATTCATCTGGTACTATATGACTCTTACTGCATTAAAAGCCTTAGAATGGCAGATTAGCTACTTCATTCTGGCAGGAGGAATTGCCTGTTGTCATATCTTCCTGCACTGTTGGGGTGAGCATGAGGCATTTGAACAATCTGGGCCCAAAATAGCAAAAACAGCCATTGGTTTCTCATACTTCTTTTAAAAAGTCGTACAGCTATTCAAGCAGAAATAAAGAAACAAGAGATAAATAAGTCTTAATAATAGTAATGAGAAAAGTCTTACTAACTGCCCTTTTCAGACGAGAGTTTCTCAGTTTGTACAGAACTGACAAATAGCTTCAAACTGTCTGCACCTTATAATTCCAAATATCATATAATTTGAGACGTAGAACTTCCCAACCTAGCTCTGTGTATCTAAATCAAATATACTAAGCTTTATACTGCATCTAATGACTTTCACTTCCCATGGCAAAAAAGAGAGAGAAATTGTCTTTCAAAATGAATGTGGTGACTCTAGCGCAGGTGTAAATACTGGACAAGTGTTGCAAACATGGCCTTTTCATGATGGAGAAGTGGCTGGCCAGTTCGGCACCCTCAGCTGCCAGCCTGCTGGCCACAGCGATCTCGCAACCCAACCTCGATATTCTTGTCCCACCACCACTGCATGCTTGAGGAATGTAAACAAACCCAGGAAAGGGCAGCATACCTTGAAATAAAAAAGGAGAAAAACGCTCCAACAACCGTGATTTGTAGCGTTACTCTATTACCTTACAAGGATGGATTCGTGTGAAAATTTGGGCCTGCAAAAACCAATGCGCTGAATGAAAAATGACCACTTCACAATAGAAGGTCTATTTACTTCACACTGTGAGCAGCCACTGAAACCCTCATTAAATAGAAAAGCCATAAGCTGACAATTGAGTGTTGACAGTGCAGTTAGTTACTGAGGTGCAGGGAGGCAGCTTTCAGGCAGCCAGGATGAATTGCTGTAGTGTTCCTTATCGAAGTGACAGAACTGGAGTGCTGAGAGTTGAGTGTTTATATGCCAGTAAGTGTAAAGCATTCACTGAAGACCAGAGACATTGTATTTCTACATTACTTACGACAGTGCAGAAGGGAATGCTTTTACCATCAAGACGGCACAAAATAAGAATGCTTCAGAGCTACATGTGGTCAAGGAAAGAAATTTTTTTTTTCTGGAAGACCGTACATTATTACAGCTATAGATCACACAAATGAAGCAATAATGAAGTGTGCGAGGGCTGCAGCTTTTTAGAATGCAAAAGATTTGTTTCAGCGCCTGACAGAGGTTCTTTTCGTCAAACAGGCCATCAGATGAAAGGGGTCTCTAGTGCTGAAGACAGCTGAGACTGGAACATTTCATTGCAAAACAGCTAAGATCAGAGCTGGAGAAAGTTATGTTAAAGAATTCCTTGCTCCAAAGAACAGCGATGACAGCAGAAACTCTACACCTCCTCAGGAAAAAAATAAACTATGGTAAATTAGGTAATTTTTTCAAAACCATTGTTTACATTAAAATCATTGCCTCAGGGGCAGCAAAAGCTTGAACTGCCCACAGAAACTGCCGACAGAGAGGCACGCACTCATCCTCCTGCACTAATCCCAGCATGTTTCCACATATCCCAGAGCTTTGAAATAACACAAACCATTGTGACTTTCTTATTGCATGCCAGCAGCCTCCACACATTTGGAGACAGGGGTAGTTTTTAAGATGCAGTTTCCCTGTACTTTAAAAAAAAAGTTACAATATGTCAAAATTATACTTCTATAAAGCACTAGAACAAGGCTGTTATGGCCTCAAGTGCTGTCAATTTTAAGTTATGAATTCTCTCCTCTTCAAAATCAAGTAAATTAAATCTCTACATGTTCACCAGTCTGTTTTCTAAACACAGGTGCTAAATAATACGAGAAGCCTTAATTCAAATGCTCATACAAGAGAAGGACTGGCCAACCCTCCTGGACAGCCACAGTACAGCAGATCTTATAGGTCACTCTTAATTCATGAATCTGTAAAGACTTGGAATGCATGTGAGTTTGGGGCAATTTAGTAAGGTACCTGATTTATAATTAAGACAGAAAAGGCCAACTGTGATCTCTAAGAGCTACACAGGGCTGCTATGTTCATTTTCCGATGATCTCAGAAGTACTCACTTGCTTCAGTGGTCAAAACACTGGTCCTGGTGTATAGGCATTAATGATTTATGGGTGACCCAAAAACCTACTAAATTGCAGGTCTCCACGATCAGGAATGGACACCACTGTACTAGAACCTATTTTGATTCTTTGAGATCCTCATCTGCGATGAAGTGCCGTACAAGTGTAAGATATTGCCACTCTCTGTATTGGCACAAATTCTTATGTGTGCCCTAAAGGATTTACAATATAATATTTTCAAGAAGAGGTAACTTCAAAGACTATTAGTTGTAAATAACCATACTGCACAAACCAACCAGGTAGTCCGATCACGACCGAAATTGGAGAACATATAAATTAGTCCTTTCACTTCTTTTCTACAAACCTACACCTGTTCAGAACAAACTACTATAT